ACTATATTTTGCATTAAAACAACATAATAAATTCTGGAAGACTTATTAAAAAATTAAATTCAGCTACTTTTCAAGTAAGATTATCAGTTTATATTTTTGTTTGCAGAGCATTATAATATTGAATTCTGCAATTATATGGCAAATGTAATTTGTTTGGTTCATTACCCATTGGCTAACAAAGTAGTAACAATGCTAAAACTCCTCTAGTGACATAATTAGAATTTTCTATAGTAAACTAAAACTAACTTCAGGAAATTAAGCAACAACAGACATTTTTTAAAATAGTCTTCCATTTGTGTTCAAGACTCATCGGTAAGATTAAAAAATATGAGATCTCTGTAACTGAACTGGACCAACCCAGCAGCACTCCAGCTGCTCTGCCCCAGGTGTCCCCAAGTCAGCTGCTGCTGAAACTGACCAGGGCTGACTCCAGGAAGCTGGGGCAGAGCAGCTCTGTCTCTGGCTTCCTGGAGTCAGCCGCTGGTCAATTTCAGCAGCGGCTGAATCCGGGACAGCTGGGGTGCTGCTGGGCTGGTCCCGCAGCCTCAAGGGGCAGCGCTACTGGACCTACCCGGCAGCACTCCAGCTGTTCTGCCCCCTGCTTCCCGGATTCAGCGCTGGTCAGTTTTAGCAGCGGCTGAATCCGGGAAGCTGGGGGCAGAGCAGCTCCAATGGTCCGGCTGCCCAGAGCACTTCCGGGTTCCTGATGGTGCCGGACCATCAGGAGTGCCGGACCGTCAGATGCCGGACCGTCGGAGTTTTACTGTACTTAAGTTAACTATTTCTAGAATTACAAATGCATTTCTAACAATTATTTCCTTCATTATCATGTGCTGGTCAAACTTCAGTTATGTAACAATACAAATATAACTCCTTCGATCATGTAATTACATCACACATTTGTCATTTTTTCTTGAGCCACGCATTTTTTAACATAAGCTGGACGCAGTGACCACGTTAATAATTTTAAAATAAATATATGAACCACAGGGAGGTGTTCAACCTTTCTGTTAACTACGGCTTGCAAAAGCTCTGCAGCATATTGACATAATCAGTAAGAGGGCATCTGTTCCTGAAAGAGAATGCACTAGATCATCATTAATCACTGCTGATAAATACACTGAAAGAATCTTGTCCCCAACAGAGGAAATGAAGGAATGTCAACCCAAAAAAATGCAATGTAGCCAGAGACTTGCAAATAAAGCTATACTGTAAGTATTCAAAGATGGAATTATACTATACAGAATATCTGTTCTGCAGATATTATGGCTTTATGTCTAGGACATTGTTTACTATGAAGTCACAGAAACGCCATCCACCGGCATCAATGAATACGGGAACTTTATGGAACTGAGAGTTTCAAAAGAGAGAGAGGCACTCACCAAGGAACAATAGGTAGCTCCCCCTTTAAGAATCTCTAGCACCCACTGCCCAGCTGGGAGAATAGGGTTGCCAAATCTCCAGAAATTAAGAATAATTTTAATTAAAAGACTGTCAAGTGATGAAACACATCCAACCAAAATTAATAAGCCTACAGGAGAGAGGGATGACGACTGGCCACCATTAGGGATGTAAAGAACTAGTTGACTAGCCAATAAGCAAATGCGTATCGGATAGTCAACAAGCTTGTCAACTAGTCGCGCCCCATCCCCTTTGCTGCCTCCATCAGAAAAAGGCAGCAGGGGGTACTTCAAAGTGGCAGTGCCGCGAAGAGCCTGGGGCCAGCATCAAGCTCTTCCTGGCATTTCAAAGCAGCTGTGTGGCATGGAGCCCAGGGTCAGCTGTGGACTCCCCCACTGACCTGGGGCTCCGTGCTGTGCCGCCACTTCGAAATACCAAGAGAAGCCTTACGCCAGGCACCCTGTGGCGTTTTAAAGAGGCAGTGCCGCACGGAGCCTAGGGTCACTTGGGGAGTCCCCGACTGATCCAGAGCTCCACTCAGCGCTGCCGCTTTGAAATGCTGGGAAGAGCCTGATGCCGGGCTCCCTGTGGCATTTCAAAGAAGCAGCGCCGAATGGAATCCGGGGTTAGAGAGGAGTCCCCAGCTGATCCAGAGCTCGACGCAGCACTGCTGCTTTGAAATGCCACGGGGAGCCTGACTCCAGGGGTGTCTAAACTACACCCCTCTGCCAATAGAGGGATGTAGATTAGGCACATCACTATTACAAATGAAGTGGGGATTTAAATATCCTGCGCTTCATTTGAATAAAAATGGCCACCGCTTTTTGCTGACACGGCACTTTGCCAGCAAAAAGCAGCAGTCTAGACGGGGTTCAGTCAACAAGGAAAGCCTTTTCCGACTGCTTCTGTAAACCTCATTGCACGAGGCATAAGGGATTGGTGGGAAAAGGCTTTCCTTGTCGACCGATCCCCATCTAGACTAATTTTAATAGTTAGCTATGGACACTTGTTAAATTTGCTAAATGGGAAATAAGGGATTCTACTGGAATTTAACTGGTCAAATACATAACCGGGAATGCACTGCAAATTTGTGAATCTGTTTGGTAGGTTTCAAATGAATTGGTTTTATTTTGTTTTGGATTATGCCCACTCACTTAAAATTGCAAACTGTTCCACTAATAAGCTACATAAAACCTGTAAAACACCTCATGTGCTTCAAAGAGAATGCCTTTTAGGCTTGCTGGAACGGTAACTAGCAAACACCTTGCGCTAAGGAAAATCACAATAGCAGTAAAGCCTCTCAGTTACTACCTGTGAATAAATTTGGAGCTTCACAACAGACAGACTATTAAAAATCTGGTCTGTGGTATAAAAGGGAAATTGAGGCATACCATCTTTACCTTAATAATTGAGCAGTGAAGTACTTTACCCAAACCCTTAAAAGCTGGTTTGCAAAACAAACACATAAGCAGTGCTCGCCAAACTATGTAATCTACTCGCCTGTGGCGAGTAGATCACAACCTGGAAGAGCCGGATTCAGGTGATCTGTGCATGCGCAGGACTATCTGCACATGCACAGATCACCAGATAGCGCGGCTAGCGAGCAGGGCTCGCCGCAGTTCAGTGAGCCCTGTGCATAAGTAATTATTGGGCAACAACAGGCTGATCAAGAAGTCAGCAAGAATACTTGTAACAAAGTAAAAAATGATTTTAAAATATAATGTGCCACCCCCACCAGGGTTAGAAAATTATTCTTTTGTCTTTCAGAACATCAGAAAGCACTGGCACCAGCTGAAAAGCAACTGAAAAAAAAACCTGTTCAGCAAGAGAAAAGGAAAGAAAAAAGATTGGGCCCAATCAAACGGCAACTCTAAAAAAACTTAGTGGAAGTGTAATAGTTTGGTAATTGTTTAAGCTAAGTGAATGTTAACAATGTCTCCACAGGTAAATAAAAAAGGAACTAAAAGGTAACCATAAGACTGTTCCTGCAGCAGCTCCTGCTACCCCTGTGGAGGCTGACAAAGGGAGTAAAGAATGTGCCATGTAAAAAGGAGGACTGGGAGTGGGGTACCAACCCTCTTCAACTGGGTTTGCTTTGCTTTAATTGCCACACTAATGAAATATTTAGCTTTTTCAAAACTTACACACTAAGGGTATGTGTAGACTACATCCCTCTGTCCCCAGAGGGATGTAAATTAGACATACGAAAATAGCTAATGAAGCAGGGATTTAAATATCCGCCACTTCATTAGCATAAAAATGGCAGGCGGCTTGTCCAATCAAACAGCAATTCTAAAAAACTTAGTGGAAGGATAATAGTTTAGTAATTGTTTAAGCTAGGTGAATGCTAACAATGTTTCCAGAGGTAAACAAGAAAAGGAACTAAAGGGTAACCATGAGACCGTTCCTGCTGCAGCTCCTGCTACCCCTATGGAGCCTGACTGAGGGAGCAAGGAGTATACCATATGAAAAGGAGGACTGGGAGCGGGGTACCAACCCCCTTCCACCTGGTTTGCTTTGCTTTAATTGCCACACTAATGAAGTATTTAGCTTTTACAGAACTTACTAACTATGAAAGGGGCTTGGCCAGAGGTAACAATAAATCTGCAAGTGGAACATCAGAAAATTTTGATAGAATCATACACCAGTGCTCACAACAATAGGGAAACTAGGAACCTCACCATTGTAATAACAGCCGATTGCCCAGTTACTCTGGTGCTAGGTGCAAAATGCCTTAAAAGGCTTCGAAAATAACTGGAGAGAACCATGGAATTGCATGGGTTTCCCATTAATAACGAAAGACATTCTCAAACCATGCTGTGGTCCTCTCAGGGGACGGTATTTGCAGTTAATGCAACCAGCATCCAAATCACCTTTAAAGAAGGATGACTGCATACTGACAGCCAAGGAAAATACAAGCACTGGGCTACCCCTCATTTAAACACAACTACTTTGCATACTATAAAACAACACTGGCATTGAAATAACCACACAATCTTTTGTATTAGAACTTGAGTGGGATCTCGTAGGTAAGAAACCAAACATTGAAATCAAGTCAAGCATTAATTACACCGGCATAGTGCCTGTGGAAGTAGGGCCTACTGACTCTGGATGGGCCTGCCACTTAAAGCACAGACAGAAGTCACCCTGGAAGCATGGCAAATCTTTGTGAAGCAATGGCCCGTGTTGACGTGCCTTTAGCTGGGAACGATTAACCGAGTTCTCAGGAACAAGAATGGGGAAAGCTCTAGCTATCAGCACACAAGGAATTGTAACAGACCTTTTAGATGGCTGAGTCCACCCAGCCTTTATGGAAGTGGTGAGACCCCCATCTTCGCAATATTCCTCTGTGGGAATGGGGAAACAGAGAATCCATGAGAATACAAAGGCCGATATGGACGGGTCATAGCATGATCTTTACCCTTCTAGCACCTGGCGCACAACGTGGGCGAGCACCCATTGGCATCCCTCACACTCAACTAGCGAGAATGGTGATCTCCCTGCTGGTGTTAAGGTGAGGTCACGTTACCAGAATAAAAGGTGAGGCATACTCTGAAGTCACTGGAAAGGCACTGTACCCCAGTGATTGTTGCACCCACTCTAACAAAGAGATTCTATGTACATGTCCATATAACTCTTTAATGAATCTGTCTATGTTCGAAGTGGCTGTTACCAAGAAACTAACACATGCAGAGTTGGTCCAAATAAATGGTACCTACTGGTATGTGACTGCCCAGAACCACTCCAAGTTAAATGGAAAGTCCTGCCCCTCAACACACCTATCCATGTGCATGACAGTCCCTCGCAGGGCAATCCTGACCGTTGATGGGGCACGGCTCTACCGTACTCTACCAATATTTTAAAATATAATGTGCCACCCCCACCAGGGTTAGAAAATTATTCTTTTGTCTTTCAGAACATCAGAAAGCACTGGCACCAGCTGAAAAGCAACTGAAAAAAAAACTGTTTAACAAGTGAAAAGGAAAGAAAAAGGATCAGGCCCAATAAAATTGCAACTCTAAAAACTCAGTGGAAGAATAATAGTTTGGTAATTGTTTAAGCTAGGTGAATGCTAACAATGTCGTCACAGGTAAACAAGAAAAGGAACTAAAAGGTAACTATGAGACCGTTCCTGCGGCAGCTCCTGCTACCCCTATGGAGCCTGACAGAGAGCAAGGAGTCTGCCATGTGAAAAAGGAGGACTGGGAGAGGGGTACCAAAGCAAACCCAGCGGAAAGGGATTGCTTTAATTGCCACACTAATGAAATATTTAGTTTTTGCAAAACTTACACACTAACCGTGAAAGGGGCTTGGCCAGAAGTAACGATAGTGGAACATCAGAAAACGTGGATAGAATCATACACTATTGCTCCCAATAACTGGGAAACTAGTAACCTCACCATTGTAATAACAGCCGATTGCCCAGTTACTCTGGTGCTAGGTGCAAAATGCCTTAAAAGGCTTCGAAAATAACTGGAGAGAACCATGGAATTGCATGGGTTTCCCATTAATAACGAAAGACATTCTCAAACCATGCTGTGGTCCTCTCAGGGGACGGTATTTGCAACCAGCATCCAAATCACCTTTAAAGAAGGATGACTGCATACTGACAGCCAAGGAAAATACAAGCACTGGGCTACCCCTCATTTAAACACAACTACTTTGCATACTATAAAACAACACTGGCATTGAAATAACCACACAATCCTTTGTATTAGAACTTGAGTGGGATCTCGTAGGTAAGAAACCAAACATTGAAATCAAGTCAAGCATTGATTACACCGGCATAGTGCCTGTGGAAGTAGGGCCTGCCGACTCTGGATGGGCCTGCCACTTAAAGCACAGACAGAAGTCACCCTGGAAGCATGGCAAATCTTTGTGAAGCAATGGCCCGTGTTG